ATAATTATCTTGTTATTCTTCATTCATTCATTCATTCAATTTGTATTGTTTTATTTCTTAACCTGGGAAAACAAAATAAGTAACATTAGAAAAATAATAATCACAATAATATATAGGGGATAAATATATTTATCTAAGAATAATAATCTTATAATAGAAGGGGATAAAGGTGACAAGGTTTTTTTTAAGCATCAGGCAAATTTAAATTGTAATTCTTATTTAATCATATGTTTAATCACAAAATCTTGTCCATAAGTGAAAAGTCAAAGTAAACGTGTCAGCAAATTTCAAGAATGACTCATGCATGTTGCAATATATGTAAACATATGAGAAGGTCAGCTATATAAACCCCCAAGAGTTGGTGAGGAAGCCCGATACAAAAATGGCTTTCATCTGGATTCTGTCATGCCTTGCTTTCATTGGAACAGCCTATGGTATGTTGTGTTTTTTTTCTCCACAAGTATGTACTTGGCTGTTACATACCAGCCTAGGGCAGAAGAACATGCTTAGATTTATATGAAAATTTCAACAAATATGTATATATATATATATATATATTTTTAACCTCCTGACTAGCAGGAAAAAAATTTGTCATGTCATTACATTGTTTAGAGCATGAGAATTATTATTTTTTTATTATATTTTATTCATATGTATGAGCATGATCATATGTATCTGAAGAGGATACCGGGAAAAAGTCCTGTTTTTAAAAAAAATAAAAAGACATGAAAAGGCAAAAACTGTGGGATTTTTGCTTTAATCACAAATCAATTTTTATTTTTTTTATACCAACCTTTATATTAAGATGATTCTCAACTATGTTATGAAAGATATTCTTAAAAACCATTTTTCTTTATGCAAAATGTGTGTAAAATGGCCATAAACGAGTTTTTCCATTATGTACAATGCATCTATAAACTGTATCTAATTTGCATATTAATATATGTCAACATAGAATGAACAAATAAGTGCAATAATGGGAGTAATAATTAGCAATATTTTCATAATAATATCTAATATTTAATAGGAATATTGATATATAATTTTTTTCTCTATTGATTTGTTGTGTCTCCCAAAATGTGTAATAAACATGCTTTAAGTTCTGATGTCCTCTACAGTGGACATGTATGAAATCGATATCCTGTTTCATAACAGAAGGTCATATTCTGATTTGAAACCCCATAACATTTTCCTGAGATGTTGATTTATGACAAACAATTGGAAAATTAGAAAATATTATCATGTTTCCATAAGGGCGTTAAATTTGATCACTAAATTAATGTCAGTCATCTTTAAATATCTCTGAAAAGTCCTGAATGTGCTCTTTACGGGACATCCATGTGAGGTCTCAGAGTCACATTCTTTATACAGTCACAGTGCAACAATTCTTGGCCTAAAATAGGATGAATCAAAACTGCTTAAAACCAATAAATTATCTGTTTTTTCCTCATTTGATTTTGGCTGAAATATGAACTGGATCTGTTTCGTGAGACTGACTGAAAAGAAAAGCACACTCATCTTCAGTTTGTAGATGTTATCCTTCAGAAGCTCAAACACATCACGAAACCAGAGTTCACTTTAAATCTCGAAACACGCCAGCTTCATTCCCATATCACTCATTGTCCCGTGGTGTGCTCGGCTAATTAGGCTGTGTGATTGGCTCAGGTGTAATTAAAGGCGATTGGGTGACAGTGCTGGCATTTGTCACAGCATCAAACAGCAGAAATGTCAGACGGATAACGCTGGTTCAGTCTGAGAGCCACTCATAACCTTTAGTGCTCTGAACGGACGAACTGTAATGAGTCCAGCCGTGTCACTTCAGGTATTTATGGAGCAGATGATCTTTGATATGCTAATTGAAGTGCGCAGTAATGGCTCTCCGTGATGCTGGATCATCTGAGCAGACGTCTTCATCGAGCCATCAGTTTTATGAGCTGCGCTGAGATCAGATTAATAGACTGAAGAAACCAAAGCAGCAGCTGTTTCCCATCAGAACATCATCATTTACTCTCCCTGCAACTCTAACCAGAGCTTCAGCTCAATGCTGCTATTCTCTGCTTTTTGGACATCAGAAGATTCAGAAAAATCAAGGAGTTTTTAAAATTACTTTTGGTGTAGTCATGATAGGGAGATGTAAAATATGTGTCCACCCTGTTAGGGACAAATGAACAACAGTTTAAAAGATACATGAATTTAATGAATGGGCAATTTTTTTTTTCCAGATATTTTGCCCTTGCCATATATACTGTATATATATGACATCATTTCATATCATGTCAGTAAAAATTAATTAATTAAAAAACTTTACTTTACTTGTAATTTAATTTACTTCTAAAAAAAAATAATCAGCTTATCAGGCAATAATTTGTAATTCTATATAAATTTAAATATTACAAAAATAAAAATCTAGATATACTTCATATAAACAAAAACATGATTTTTCTCACCAACACATAACTTTACATTTTTTAAGATACAAATGAATAACGATGTTTTTGTTTACTTTTTAAAGAAATACATTATACTCCAATACAATTTTTTGACAATTGTTAGTTTATTTGCTGATATTATAAAATTATCGTAAAAAAAAAATAGGAATATTGATATATAATTTTTTTCTCTATTGATTTGTTGTGTCTCCCAAAATGTGTAATAAACATGCTTTAAGTTCTGATGTCCTCTACAGTGGACATGTATGAAATCGATATCCTGTTTCATAACAGAAGGTCATATTCTGATTTGAAACCCCATAACATTTTCCTGAGATGTTGATTTATGACAATTTGAAAATTAGTCAGATTTAAATGATAATTACAAAATATTATTATATTTCCACGAGAGTGCTAAATTTAATCATTAAATTACTGTCAGTCATTTTTAAAGTCAAAAAACAATCATTTGGTATCTCTGAAAAGCCCTGAATGTGCTCTGTACAGGACATCCAGACTTAAGACTTAAAACTGTAACGTCTCAGAGAAATTGCTAAAACATATTGTCCTCTACAGAGGACAAAACTCCATAGTCCATAGCTGGGAGGATATATATATAAAAAATATATATATATTTTTTATATATATATCCTCCTGACTATCAGCTATGGAGTTTTGTCCTCTGTAGAGGACAATATGTTTTAGCAATTTCTCTGAGACGTTACATGTCACAGTTTTAAGTCTGGATGTCCTGTACAGAGCACATTCAGGGCTTTTCAGAGATACCAAATGATTG